CCTACTTTGGCCATTATGTTTCTGGGAGAGAGAGAGAGCTTCCATCCCAACAAGGGAAGAATGCAAAGCCAGGCCTGGGCTGGAAGATTGAGCTGCTCGGTGGCATAGCTCTGTAGCTGGCTGAAGAACTGCACTCAAACAGTGTTGATTTATGACCTGTTGTCAACTGACAGGAAGCTCTCTAATGGAGTGCCACATGGTTCTGTTCTGTCTCATTAAACATGTGTGGTAAAGACTTGGATGAACACATAGAAGGTTAGTGATGGTGTATAAGCTGCATGGTTGGAAAGGCTTATCCATAGCACAGATGACAGAACCAAGATTAAACAATAAGACTATGAAACCAACAAAGTAACATTTAATAGGACGAACGTAATGCTGTACATTAGGTGAACTGAAACAAAACAAAGCCCAGTGGAAAAGTACACAATGGAAAACTTACTTTGACTATAGTTCATATGAAAAGTGGCCTTCATGAACACGGCACTGGTATGAAGTGGTTATAACAAAGCTAGTTCATAGGCCAGCCCTATGGCCTAGTATTAAGGGAGTCATATCCCACATGGCCGACTGTGAGGTTCAAATCTTGGTCCTGATGCTTGAAAAAAAAAAAAAAACTGTAGGCATATGAGTGTGCATGTACCCAAAATCTCAAGAGGATGGAGAAATGAAGGAGAAGGGATCGTGTCATGATCACGTCCTGCTGAGGATGCTTCTTCCCTCTCCTTGCCTTTTTCTCTCTCCTTTCTCTCTGGCCAGCACACATCTTTCTGGTGTAATGAAACATTTTATGTCTCTCTTGACTGGAGTGTAGCCATCTCATGACACTTGGGGAATTGGACTTTTAGGATGTGTGCCTTTTGCTCTATGTACATGTTACCTCAATTAAAAACCATGGGAGGAGCTGCAGCCCGCTGTATTGTGTTGCTCAGAGGGAACTAAAATGGGGAGTTTGCCTCTGGGTGAGTGGGGATACATGGGAGGACTGTTTATATTCATTGGAAGGAAGCCCTAAACAAATCTAAAAGTCCCTCCCAGTTCCAAACTCTACAAATTAGAAGTCACGATAAAGTTCTTTATTTAAGGGCAGCTATTCATTAAAAGCCAGAACCACCATTTCCTGGGGCCCCACTGTATCGAGCAGCCTGGTATACTGATGTGGTTTACACATTGCTCTAGAATACAGCTGCCTAAGGCAGAGCGGTACAATTACACTAGACATTCAGTCTAACGCCTCCACATCCCCACCTTTCTCGATGGTCCTGAAGGCAGTCCTCGTTATTCCTACTGTATCCCATTTTATAGACAAGAACATGTAGGCTCAGAGACAGCAAGAGGCCCAAATTGACAGAACTAGGACTCAATCTGGACAGTCTCCAAGCTGGTGTTCTTTTCTCTGCAATTTACCTCTTGTCTTTTCTAAGCTCTTAGGATGCTTGCAGTCCACGGCGATAGCAGTGCCATGCACAATGCGCTTTAGCTCACTGGCCATCACCGGTGAGGTTGCATCAGATAATCAAAAGACTGGGCAGAGAGCAGGGCAGTGACTGAAATCCTGTCTCCAGAATGCCTTTTCCTTCCTGCAAGTGATCTGAACACACGGGGTCCCAAAGCTAGGCCACAGTCCACACCAGGTTTTTCCCAGGGATGTGGGTCACTATGACTAGTCTCGCCTGGTGGGGCAGCACTGGAGAGGGCACCTGCTTTCTGCTGTCTCAGTGCAGTGACCCGTCTCTGCCTCCCACTCTGCGCTTGCACCTTACCTCGTCCTTGAAGAGGCGTGCCTGGTCCTCACAGCCTGTCAGGGTTTGAACAAAGCCGAAGACCTTGGAGACCAAAAGAGACATGCTGATAGGAGGTGGGCTTGGGAATGCAGGGGGAAGAGGCTGACCTGCTGGGCCTTGGTGCTGTCTGGCCTGAGCAGAGTCACCTCTCCTCATCAGCCTAAGAGGGTCCTGTGTCCCTGTGCTGGTGGGTGTGCGAGGAGAGGTCCCTAGTCATGAGGACCAGAACTGAAGCCTGCCCTGCCTGCTGGATTCCCAGTCCATCCACCACAATGCACCCATGGGACGGTATCCCCATCAGCCCCAGCTGGGCAGCTGTTGGGGGCTGCGGACAGCAGGGATGAGCAGGAAGGAGGGTCAGGAGCGGTACCTGGTTCTGCCTGACTAGGCCCTTCCTGAGCCATCCAGCCAGGGTGCTGTAAGAGGAAGCAGGAGAGGGACAAGGAAGGGCTCCTCACTTCTCACCTCATCGATGGTCCACTTGGCAACCGTTGAGGCTGAGATGCCTGCCACCCCCGGCAGGAGCTTGCAGTGCTGCTCCCAACACACAGACAGGGAGCGGTCAGGGTGGGCTGCCAGGGCCGACATGAAGAGGGACTGGTGCACGACGTCGGGAGGGAGTGCTGGGAAGCAGAGGCAGAGACTGGTAGCCAGTGCCAGGACTCAGTTGATCCCTGAGGCCTGCTCACGTCAGGGGTTCGGGGTGAGCCCTTCCTGACCCTCTCTGGGTCATAGTCTGCACATCTGGGAGTACTTAACTTTCCCTGGAATTCTACAGCATAATTCTGGAATGAGCACAGGAGACCCCTTAGGGGACTGTGGGCCCCTCCCATGGCCTAGAGAGTCAAGAAGGGCATATCTCCTGACTCCCTACTCAGTGCTCGCTCCTTCCAGTGAAGAAGTCCCTCTCTTTACAGATGTGCAGGCCAGCACTGGGCAGGACCATTGCCCATCTCTCTGAAGCTGTATCACCCCAGGTCCTACAAGGACCATCTGTCGGAGCTGCTGCGGCATCCCTGAAGACAGTTCTTTAGACATCTCACATCGAAATGGCCAAGCCCCAAGCAAGCCCAGCCCTGACGTAAGAATCCATTCTGTGTACACTTTCTTCTAAGCCCTTTTGGGCCCCCATCACCTCTTTCAGAGCCAGAATCCCAGTCTTCCCGACCAGTCTAGCCACAGTCACCACATCAGCTGCAGTTCACCTTTACTCCACCAGCCTGGTCTGGCTGGGCACCCGGATACCTGCCCCCTGCCCAGAAGGTGACCCTGACCTCCTCCCCAGCTCCACGCTGCCTGTCACTTTGCTTTCTGCTCTGCTCCAAGAGCTCAAGGGGGCTCTGCGGCCCTGATGGCTGGCACTACTCTGCTTGGCCTCTTCCTAGCCAGGCCTGGCACTCACCCATCTCTGGCTCCTCCAGCCCCACCCACCTCTGCCAGCCTTGGCTCCCATGGGGTATCCCTAGCCTTTGCCCACAATCAGGGAGAGCTGGCTCTTTCTTATTTACTGGGTGCCAATTCAAATGCTCTGGAACACAGCATCCAGTGCCCTCTTTAAGAGCCTCACCTGCTTGGCACACTGTCCTGCCCTCTTGCCCCTTAGCTTTGGTCTTTTACCTGACTGCACCTCACACTCATCCTTAGAGCCTCTGAGACTCCATCAGCAGCCCTCCCCCCAGTCGATCTCCTTCCAGCTCCCTGTTGCCCCCTCTGCTGACCAGCCCACACCCTAAACCCCCCACCTTGGTACCTCCTGGGAACTGCTTCCTCTGCACCACTCTATCAGCTCCTCTCAGGGCCCATCTGAGTGCACCCCATCTCCCATGACAGCTACACCTGCACCTTTACCTGGTCACGGGCTTGACCTGTCACCAGGAGCTCCCTCTTTGGAGTCCAGTATCTGGTTCCCCTTTGCCCTAGGGTGGGGTTTGGGGACACCACCAAGGTTGTAGAGAACTTCCCTCCTATCGTGCTTCCCCAGGGCACAGGACAGGTGCTTCCACAGGTAGCTAACATCTTGTCTAATGGAAAACCACCGAGCTGAGGGTCAGAAATGGCTCCTCTGGTTCTTTCTCACAGCTGACACTCCTGGGGCCAAGTTCTGTCCTCTGCAGGTAGCCCTCCTAAGGAGCAGACCCTGGAGTCTGCACTGGAGGGGAGGGTCTTTCACGGTATGTGGGGAGTACCTGGGCTCTGTCCGAGACGTGCTTAGAGGTTTGGGTGAGCCCTTCCTGACCCTCTCTAGGTCATAGCCTGCCCATCTGGAAGGACTTAACTTTCCCTAGAATTCTACAGTATGATTTTGGAATGAGCACAGTAGGAAGTGCCCTCTGGTGGCTAGGCTTGGCCCTGCAAAGGCAACTGATCAGGTGTGCCACAGGTGAGTCAAAGAAGTGCCATTACAGTCTGAGCTTCAGAGTTCCTCACTCTGAGTGCCTGTAGGCCAGCGCCAGCTCTCATTAGGCAGGCATGAGGATGCAGAACTGCTTCTGTTTTCACTAAGAGAAACAGCATTGGAACAGCAGCAAGAGGGAGTAGAGTGAGAGATTTGGATAACTGATATTATCAGCAGCTGGCTACAGCAAGCGCCTCATGTGGATCATGTCATTTAAGCCTCCCACAACATCAGGAGGTGGGTATTGTTATTATCAGCATTTTACAGAAGAGGAAGCTGAGGAATACAGCAGTGATGTCACCCACCCAAGGGCTCATAGCCAGTAAAAGGTAACTTGATTTCAGGGCTGTGAGTGTGTGTGTGTGCACATGCGCATGTGTGTGTGTGGGGAGTGCTTTTGTTTTTGGTACACAGGGTCTCATTACTCTGCAATCTTTCTCTCTGTGCCTCCTGAGTAGCTGGGACTATAGGTACATGCCACTGAGGGAAGGGCTCTGTCACTCTTCCCATTCTTTTATAGCATGTCATGAGCAGAACTGTGTCCCCCTCAATAAAATACATATGTTGAGGCCCTAAGCCCCAGTACCTCAGAATGGGACTGTGGAGAGGTGGCGAAGTTAAAATGAGGTCATCAGGATGGGCCCTTACCCGGCCTGCCTCCTTTTAAGAGGAGGAAATGTGGGCACACAAACACACCAGGGATGCTCATGCAGAGAGAGATGGAGGGAGGACACAACAAGAAGGCAGCCATCCGTAAATGCAGATGTAAACTCAGGCAGCCATCTGTAAACCCAGGAGAGATCCTTATAAGACATCAAGCCTTGGGACTGGCAGGTGGCATGGTGGATATAGGTGCTGGATTCCCAGATGGCTGACCCTGGTTCGAGTCCTGACCTGGTGGCTTGCTTTCTCATTTTCCCTTTCTCTCCCTCTGTCTCTCTCTGGTCAAATTAAATAATAATAGTAATAATAACAAAATGAAATTAAATAAATAATATTTTTTATAAAAAGAAGATGACACCAAGCTTTCCAGTATCTTGATCTCGGACTTCCAGCCTCCAGAACCATGAGAAAATAATTGTCTGTGGTTTAAGCCGCCTGAGCTGTGGTATTTTGTCATGACAGTCTGAGCAAACTCAAACAAGGGGTGGAGGAGTGAACTGACATTTGGGTCCAGTGTACTTTTTTGCTGGAGAGTGTGTATGCTTGCCAGAGGGACAGAGAGAAAAAGAGCGAAGAGAAAGCACACACTCCCCACTCCATGGGGAATGGTCATGCTGCAATACCTTCTCCATCTCTCCTTCCTTTCAGGATTTTGGGCAGTGAGTTTTTCCAGTTGTGGGGACTAGGACTTGAACTGCACAGTTGGCCATATGGGATCTGGCTGGCTGCCTTAACCACCACACCATGGAGCCAGCCCAGGTTGGTTCCATGCTTCATGTCTATTATACCAGCAGCGCTTAGCAGGCAGAGTCAGCTCAGATCCAAGTCAGATCCCAGCTCTGTTATTGAACACACCGGAGAGGACCTGAGCAAACCACATCCTGAGTTTCACATCCCTTCTTTCTCCCAGGAAAGACCAATATCCATTTTACAGATGCTCGTATAGTCAGATAGTCAGAGAAACTATCCACAAAGCACCTGGCAGCCTGGCCCACGGCAGGTGCTCAGTAAATGGTAGCAGTCACCATCATTATTTCAGGAACTGGACTCAAAAGGCAGGTTTTACTTGTGTGAGACCAAGGTTCAGAGATGCTAAGTGACTTGTTCAGTCACACAGGTAGAAGTGACTACTGCCTCCTTCCCAGGAAGCCTAGAGTCAGAGAAGGGCCGAGAAGAGCCAGGGGCTTCATCCTGCCTCGCAGTAGAGAACCAGGGGCCCAGAGGCTCTGTGCCTTTCCCATGGACTCACAGCAAGGCCACGGGGAAATGGCAACCCCAGCCCCCTCTTGCCACTGCTCGCTGCTCCCAAGGCATCTCAGACGAGAAGGCAGCCTCCTTCCTGCTCCTCCCTCTCTGGGCACCCCTATGTCTCATCCCACCAATCACAGGGCACTCACTGGGAACACCCTGCAGCGGACACGGGATTCAATGACCCGACTTACTCTGGAAATCTTCCTGTGGAATCTTCCGATACTTTGGAGGACGTCCAATGCTGGAGAGAGGGCAGATCCATGGCTGGGAGTCAGTGTCTGGGCCGGCCTGACCCTAGAGGCCATGAGGCCCCGTGCCCCACAGGCCCAGGCTCCGACTCCCTGGCTCCGCACCGGCCGTGATGGCGAGTCTTCTTCCTTGGTGAGAAGCCCGAGAGGTGCCTCTTGCGGGCCGAGGCCTCCGTGTCAGACAGCTCTGCTTTCAGCCGGCTTTGGTTCCTCTCGGCCAGGGGACAGCCTGAGAGGCAGTGGTGGGCTGTGAACTTGCCTGTGACGTGGCCAGAGCCGTCACAGCCAGGAGTGGGGCACTTCCTGGGGAAGAAGAAGACGGCAGGGGGCTGGACCATTAGCCCCCTCGAGCCTTCCCCGAGCATAGCCCTGTCCAGAAGCGTTGGTGAACCCAGAGCAGCACTCAGCAAGCACAGGGCAGCCCCGGCCTGAGCACAGCCTGGGGAAGGGCTCTCGGCAGGAGCCCTTCGCTCACCGGTGGTGAAAGCTGTACTTGGAGGTCCTGGCATGGGGCAAGCTCCTGCAGCTGAGAGGGGCACAGCCCCCAGGGGAGGCAGAGCTGGGCTCTCTGGGCCCTGCAGGAGCAAGAGAAGAGTCAGCTCAGGGACCTGGGGTAAGTGGGGGGTACTGGAGGGCAGGTGCCACGGAGACTGGTTCCCCAGGGACGGCAGCCCTCAGCTAGGCTGTGCCAACACTCCCTGTCTCGGGCTCCTCTTTGGTGAAGAAAGGCTTGGCTGGGACCAGCAGTTAGCGTAATAGCTATGTCACGGGACTCCCATGTGGTCGACCACGGTTCGAGTCCCGGACCCGGTAGCTTAAACTCACGCTGGGTGCGTGTGTGTGCATGTCCAAGATCCCGAGAGGAGAATGGAGGAGAAGGAATTGCGGTGTGGCCATCCCCCTGGGGGGGTGATTTCTCACTTTGTCTCTCTGCCTTTCTGGTGAGTGCATGGTGCCCTATAACAAAAAACAAAAAACAAAAAACAACAACAAAAAAAACCCTCTCCAAAAAAAAAAAAAAAAAGAGAGAAAGGCTTGGCTTACATATACTCTGTTACAAACTGCAGCCCCTGCCCTCAGTCTCTGCGGAGAACCCTCAGGGCTGGGGGCAGATGTCCTGGGTGCTGTATGGGCACAGTGGGACCTTGGAAGCCACTTCGGGCAGTTTCATGTTGTTGTCATTGAATGGTTTCTTGCTTTGTTTCCATTCTCAGGACTTTGGTAACTTAGGTTCTGCGGATGCTCAGAGGAGAGCATTCAAGGGGGAAACAACACCCCATGTGAGACAACGAAGTGGCAGTGGAAAATAAGGAAGGAACCTCTTGAGGCAAGAATGAGGCAGCGCGGTCTAAGGACCTCCGCTCTAGCGGCTGCCTGTGCAGAGGACCGGTTTTGTTTCGAGAACTGGCATTTCCTTGGCAAACACGATGCCAGCTCAGTGTGGCTCTGCCAGATGCTGAGAAAACTCTTAAGCTCTCATTCCTAAGTGAGCTAGCCCCATTGCACCCCAAAGCCCAAACCCAACATCTGGAGGAGCCAGAGCACTGTTTAGCCCTGCAGTCAGCCCTGGGGCAAGGGATCCTGGAACTCACTACAGGCACTGGAGCCTTCTGTGTCAGACCAGGGCATGGGGGTCAGAGTGCCCTGGGCAAGATACAGGAAGGGAGGGTTGTCACAGCCTGGAGGGCAGGGTCAGAGTCCCCTGGGGCTACACACGGAGAGGCGGCTGCAGGGGATGTCCTGTCTTGGAGCACCAGCCCGCCGGGTGGATGTCCGGGTGGTCAGCATCAATCCAGAAGTCATAGCTGTGACTCCAGCCATCAAAGTGGAGCTGAGAAGAAAGGCCCTAGGAGATCAGACTCCAGGGAGTACTTCTCATCCCTGGAGTCTGTCAGAAGCAAGATACTGGATTGGATGAACCAAGGGGTCAACTCTGCAATACCTGGTCTTAGTCACCACATTCCAAGGGCTTCACTCTCATTAAGTTATGGGTATCTCCCATCAATCCTTGGTGGGCAAGGATGGTTAGGCCCATTTTATAGAAGGTCAAGACTCAGATAGGGGAAATGACTTATCCAAACCCTCAAAAGTAAGTCACAGCTGAGCCGAGAATAAGATTTAAGGTCTTTGGCCTCTTCTGTCTTGTGCCATGCCCTTGACTTCTAACCAGTCTACAGAATTCTGGCCCAGTTGGCCTGTCCATTTCCCCAGCCCTAGGGTCCCAGAGCCACCTTGATCCGATGGTCCTCTACATCCTCCACGCTGGCCACACGTATCAGTGCTGGGTTCCTGCGGTCCACAGCCTCCAGCTTCATGTTGACCAGGAAGCTATGAGGGGGTCGCTGTGGGGGGACAGTTGCCCAGTTCAGCAGAATGGAGGCCCCAAAAAGGCACTTAGCAAAACTGTGGCTTGCCCAAAGGGGGTAGCCAGGGCCCATCCTGGCTGGCTGAGAGCCTCACAATCTCCTGAGATCAGTTCTGGGGTTGGGGGGTTCGGACTCACCATCTTGAAGGCCCAGGTGGGCACAGCATTAGTCCCAGTCTCTTCTAGATATTTCTCCCAACAGAAGCTATCAGGGTCTGGGTAGTCTGAGGAGAGGATGAGAGCAGTGTCCAGCTACCCAGGGGTACTGGGAGAACTCTGATCCCGAGCAGGACCAGGAATATGGAAGGGGCAGAGACTCTTGGAATGGAATCTCTTCCTGCATCCCCGTGGCCGGCACCTTGCATTGGGCTCCTGAGGCAGATGGGTGCTAGTGAGAATCAAGCAGAGTTCTGCCTCAGCAGGCTCGTGTCCCTTGGCCTTGAGGCACCGTTCTCATCTGAAGCTTGCCGTATTCAGCCGTGTTAACACTGCTCCCAGCAAGAGGGCACACTGGGCTTGCCTAGGACTCCCTGCTCCCTGGCTGAGGGGCTCCTCCCCTAAAGTCTCACAGTCAGGGTTAGACAGGACTCTCCTAAAATCAAAGGGTTCTCAACTCCCAAACCGGAAAGCCGAGGTTCCGGACCCTACCTGTCCCCTCACCTCACTCAGAAAGAGCCAGTTAGTGAGGTGCTGCGTTGTCAGGGGCCAGGGAGGTAGAGCCAGACCTAGGGAAGGGCACTTGCTCAGGCTGCAGGCTCACCTTGTGGAGGGGTCAGGGGCTTTCCTTGCTTCTGGCACCAGCCCACTGGGTGGATGTAGGGGCTGCTGGGATCACACCTGAAACCCGAGAAGATATCACCGTCCCAAGAGAAACTCCGGGGCCTGAACATGCCGCCCTCTGACAGAGTGGCGTCAGCGCCATCCTCGTCCTGCTTCTTAGTGGGACAGAGACAGATGGCTGATGACAAACTCAGAAAACAGCAACACTAACTAGAAACCCCACCACCACCATGATACCTAAGGGGAAGTCATGAGTCACAGGGGTTTGCTCATCAGAAGCCTGGTATTTTTAGAGGAAACATTTAAGACTGGGCTGGGCTTTTAGCTAACTCTCTATAGGGCAAATGTCAGGACTACATGAAGCAGGGCCATGAAAGCTGCTGTCCTCTGCCCCCTGCCACCCCACCCCACCCCAGGCAAGTCTGGGCCCCCAGTACCAGTAGTCATAAGTGTCATCCCAGTTGTCAAAGTGCACCAGGAAGCGGCTGTCCACCACGTCAGTCACACTGGCCACGCAGACGAGGGATGGGTTCATGCGGTCAACAGCCTCCAGCTTCATGCCCACCTGGAAGCCCAGGGGTGGGGGGCTCTAGGGGCAAGAAGAGGGGCTGCCACAGCCAGGGCCAGGTTGACTAGTGCTAACCCACTGGCAGATGGAGTGGGTTCTCGAGGAGAACTGCTTGAGAGGGAGGAAGAAAGAGGCTGGGAATGAGGATCCCGTCGGGGCCAAATCATAACCCGAGCTCTGAGGCACTCAGGAATTTCTGGCTTTTGAGGTACACTCAGAGGAGGCCTGACTTGTGGCAGAAAGTGAGTGACTGGAGGAGGCTGTGTAGTCCCCTAATTCTGCCGGCCTGAGTACAAGGCTCCCCTCTCTGGCCGGGCCTGGCCTGGCCTGTCCTGGGGCAGTTGGGGCAATAACGGGGAGATAGGAAAGAAAAAGCTGACCCGTGTGATGGGGGACGGGGAAGGGAACTAGATTATTAACCGGCACCTGCCATGTAATGAGCATAAGCTTGGAAAGACAGTCCCTCCTCTGTTTTCACGACTTCCTGAGATAGGCATTATTATTTCCATTTTAGAAATTAACGACTTGACCTGGAACACAATGCTTGTCCATGGCGAGGCCAAGATTTAAACAGCTGACTTAAACATCTGCATTCCCGGTCACAACAGTCGGTGGGACCCCAGGAGTCATCTGGGAACTTGTGAGTGTGGTCTCTGGGGCTGGACTGGGGTGGGAGAGGGACTGTCCCTGTCTGAAGAGTAAGGCAGAGTCTCTGGGCCATGGGGTCTCCTGAACTTCTATTCAATAATACTTTTAATGGAGGTTTCCTCTATCTATCTGATCTTTTGCTTGAGATACTTGAACTACTGGATCAAGCTGCCAGCTGTCTTGAACAGAGGAACGGACAAGGGGCGAGTTGATGGAATGAATGGTAGAGCCTCAGTGTTGGTCAGAAGGAAGGAAGAAGAAGCTTCAAGAATACAGCTTTGGCCTTGCACCAAAGAACTATAGAGCAAACCAAAGACATCTGGTGTCTGGACACGGGTAGTGGGCTGGGGCTCCAAGGAGCTGAGTGGAGGAGAGGCTTTCTGCAGGAGGGAAGGAGGGAGGGACCTGGGGGAAGACTGGCCCTGGCCCTGCCCGGCTGTGCCCTCCCATCCTATGTGAGAGGCAGGATGAAGCTGAGATCATGCAGCTGAGTTCTCTTTTGAGTCAGACATGAGTTAATCGCAGGGACTCTGGGGGGGGAGTGTGTGTGTGTGTGTGGGTATGTGTGTGTGCAGCACGGCCAGTCTGCTCAGGGGCACTCACGTGGCTCTGGCTCACAAACAGGTGCTTGGGGGCAGCCTGAGCTCTTGTGCTGCGCAGGTACTGGCTCCAGCTGAACTCCTCCTCCTTGTAACCTAAGCCCCTCCGGGAGATGAACAGAACTCCGTGTAGAGGCTGGGCTGCGGCCACCCCACGCTGAGGCAGCAGCATTGGGCAGGCCTAAGGACCTCGCAACCCTCAAGAACCTGCCCAGGGACCCTCTGCCAAGGCAGGAATGACCCAGGTGGACACTCGGAGGGTAAGGACAGAGCAGGAGCTTGGAGCTTCCAGCCAACTGAGCCCTGGGCAGAGTCCTATCAGGGTGTGATGAAGAGGCTGGCTTTGGAATGGTACGAGGTCAGAAAACGCTGACCGAAGCTGAAGGGGTGGTGTGGCCTCGTGGGACTCGCTGCCACCTCATGGCCAGCCCAGCCAGGCCTTACCTTTAGGAGGCTGCAGCTTGTGCCCAGTCTTCTCAAACCAGCCGGCAGGGTGAATGTCAGGAGAGTTGGCGTTGACCCAGAAGTCATGGCACTCGGAATACCCATCAAAGTGCAGACGGAGGCGATAGCCACACACCTGGCCCCGTGAGGGAATCACTGGCCTCCAGTGCCAGCAGACGCCCCACTCCCTACCCCTCGCCTCTCCAGACTCAGCCCCATGGTCTCAGGGCTCCAATGCTGGCAGCTTCCCCCAACGCACTTTCCTTGGTTCCCAGTTTCCCCCATGCTGAACTTTGCCTCCCACTCTCCCATCCTGTAGCAAGGACAGTTTGTGTGCTCATGGTCCCCGAGTGCCAGGTATAAGACTGGTGGACCTTATGACACCCACCTGCCCTTCTGAGCCCTGGATAGAATGTAGGGACACCTGCAAGCCTCAGGACTGCCTGCTGCAACCTTCCCTCACTGATCTCTCACACATTCTGCTTTGGTCTTGCTGAGCTGCTGGCTATCCCTAGAACATGGCGGCTTGTTCCACAGCCCAGAACCTCTGCTCTCTCTGCTTCTTCTGTCTGGGACTCCCTACACATTCACAAGTCATGCCTCAGGATGCAGCTGAGGCGCCCCTCCTCCTGCAATGGCAGGCAGAATCATGTATCTGTTCATGTCTGTCCTATCCCCTGGGTGGCATGTCACTGACACGGGCACTACACAACTGTGAGCTCCTTGAGGTCAAAGCCCTTGCCTGACTCAAGACCACATCCTCAGCCCTCAGGATCTCTCCTCCTCACGTTCTCCACGCTCCCCAGAACAGATGGTGTACCACCGTTCAACAATACCGCCACTTACTACAGTTCATTTCTCTCTTTTTTAAGCGTCTGTGTGTTCTGATTCAATCCAGTCCTAGACCATGTGCTTCCTGAGGCCTGGGAGGTGTCTCCCTCTGTGCCTCCAGCAGGCACCATCACTCTGCAGTGCTAGAAGAGGGGTGTCACATCCAGCTCACCTCGGCCACAGTGAGGACGAAGTACATGGATGGGTGCTGAGGGTCAATGCCTTCCAACTTCATGCCCAGTTTGAAGCCGTTCTTGTTGTGGGTGACTGCCTGGGACTGTCAACGCACAGAGTGGAGAGGACCCAGCTTCCATCCAGCCTTATCCTTGCCTAGTGGGCTTGGGGTGAAGGAACGGCCTTTAGGCCCCACCCGCCTATTGTTAGCAAAGGGGTGACTTATTTGGGGTTCTTTACTGTAGGGATCCTGGGCTCCCAGGTCCCATGTAAAATCAGGGCTGAGTCACAGCTGGACCTAAGGGCTCCTCTTGCCCAAGTCATAGAAAGATCAATGCTGAATTGAGCAAAAGGCACCAGAATTCAAAAGTGCTGAGTTCATGGGGCCGGCAGGTGGTGTGGTGGTTAAGGACGCTGGACTCCCATATGGCCGACTGTGGTTCGAGTCCCAGACCTGGTGGCTTGCTTTTTCACGTTCCCTTTCTCTCTCTCTCTTTCTCTTTTACTCTGTCCCTCTCTGGTCAAATTAAAACAAATAAAGTTAAATAAAATAAAACAAAATAATTCTCTTTTTTTTTTGAGAGGTTTTCGCTATAGGGCGTGTGTGCTCGCCAGACAGACAGAGAGAGACATAGAGACAGAAAGCGAGAAATCACCCCCCAGAGGGGATGGTCATGCCGCAATCCCTTCTCCTCCATTCTCCTGTTGGGATCTTGGGCACACATGCACACGCGCCCGGCGTGAGTTTTAAGCCACCGGGTCCGGGACGTGAACCACGGTTGACTACGTGGGAGTCCA